AAAGCGGTGAAGTTGTACGCTGAATTGGCAGAGATAGCAGTGAATAGTTTTCTCATCTCGAAGGACTCACCTGTAATTGAACCAATAAGAATCCACAGTGGTGCGGAGGAAAACAAGGAAGCTCTCAGGAAGTCCCGAGGAGAGGAAGATGAAGATTTCCAGATTCTGGAGTACCAGGCACAAAAAGGGAATGCAGGAGCAATGTATAAAATTGGTATATTTTACTATTTTGGCCTTAGAGGCGTGAGGCGTGATCATGCCAAGGCATTGAGGTGGTTCTCAAAGGCAGTAGAGAAAGGTGAGCCCAGGTCGATGGAACTTCTTGGAGAGATATATGCGAGAGGTGCTGGGGTTGAAAGGAACTACACTAAAGCTCTCGAGTGGCTAACGCTTGCATCAAAACAACAGCTTTATTCTGCTTATAATGGCATGGGATATTTATATGTGAAGGGCTATGGAGTAGAGAAAAAGAACTACACCAAGGTATATCTTCTATAGTGTTAGCTCATATTTATTTATTTCTTTATTTGCTGTCATATCCTATTCTTCCTTTGCCATCTTCCATGCATCCATTTGTTGCTCTTTGTCGTCTATGTGCCATTGTAAAATTTTTTCACCTCCCAGTAGCTTGTTTTCTCTATTATTTTGATTGTTCTAGTCCTAAAACCTCGTTAGAAGTGTTCTATATGGCCCATTGATAGCTTCTCCTTAACAGGCAAAGGAGTATTTCGAGAAAGCTGCTGACAACGAAGAACCTGGTGGATTCTACAACCTTGGTGTGATGTATCTTAAGGGACTTGGACTGAAAAGGGACCTGAAAATAGCAACCAAGTACTTTGCCCTGGCCGCTAATGCAGGTCAGCCAAAAGCATTCTACCAATTAGCGAAGATGTTTCACACTGGTGTGGGGCTCAAGAAGAATCTTCCTATGGTAAGTTGTCTAACATCTTATTGTCCACCATCTTCTTGTATTGATGAAATCTCTGAGTGATTAGACTATGATATGCATCTATTCGGCCCACACTCTCTTAACGAATTTGGCTGAAAATGGTGTTCATTACATTGTCGTTATGCAGTGCCCTTTCCATGATATCTTTCATAGGTACTTGTCTTCTTCCTCAAAATATTGTAGTTGGTGAATGAATTGTCCTTCTTTGCCCGTGTTTGCATATAGGTTTTTGACAAATTTGGACTGAAAAGGTAAACGCAGTCGTGCATTTTCTGATCACTTTTGTGCAATGTATTCTAGGCAACAGCATTATATAAATTAGTTGCAGAGCGCGGTCCTTGGAGTTCCTTATCCAGATGGGCTCTGGAGTCGTATCTAAAAGGTGATATTGGCAAGGCTTTCCTTTTGTACTCAAGAATGGCAGAGATAGGATATGAGGTGGCACAAAGTAATGCTGCTTGGATTCTTGATAAATATGGGGAAAGTAGTATGTGCATGGGGGAATCAGGACTCTGTACAGATGCTGAAAGGCATCAACGGGCGCATGCCTTGTGGTGGAAAGCTTCTGAGCAGGGTAATGAGCATGCTGCTTTGCTGATAGGGGATGCATATTACTATGGTCGGGTATGTTTATGACATCTACCATTATATATTTTCTTGATAAGGATGCGATTTGTTTATGGCTTCGTTCTGGTGATAGTTACCTTTAATTCTACACTTCTAAAGAGGTCTTTGTTTGTGTCCTTTCTTCAACTCTAACAGGGTACAGATCGGGATTATGATCGTGCAGCGGAAGCCTATATGCATGCAAAATCTCAGTCAAATGCTCAAGCAATGTTCAACCTGGGGTACATGCATGAGCATGGGCAAGGGCTACCACTGGATCTTCACCTTGCCAAGCGCTACTATGATCAAGCTTTGGAAGTTGATCCTGCTGCAAAGTTGCCAGTATCACTAGCGCTTGCCAGTCTGTGGATCAGAAGAAATTATGCCAACAGTTTCCTTGTGAGTATATCTTCTTATCACCTGTGCTTTTGCTTTAGTGGTGCTTCACATATCCAATTTGTTTCAATCATTTTTACTTCGCCAATTTCTAGGTCTTTAGGTTTGATAACCAATGAAGAAGCAAACTTTTCAGGGGTTTGTTCATAAATCAGTGTTATTAATGGCAGATGGCGGTACATGGCGGTTTGCTAATGTTCCGCCATAACGGCTGTCGTGGCGGCCTATGGCGCCGCCATGACCGCCACTTGATAACACTGTCATAAATCTTTTTCCTTTTTGACATTTTATTTNAAAAAAAAAAAAAATGGATGGTATAACTTTGTTACCAAAAATTATTCTTTGTTTTTCCAAGGATCACATATAAGCCAATTGTTGAATTATTAATTTTAGCTCGATGGCTTTCCATAGACTAATGTTGATTTAATAGAAACCAGAATCTTAAGGCATATAAGCATTTTCAAATTTATTATGTACTCCTGATTACCTTTTCAGATTACATATGGGTGGATTTTGATTTTCCCTTTTTCTCTTTTGGTTACCTTTTTAGATTACATTTGAGTGGGATTTTAATTTTCCTTTACATTTGGGTGGATTTGGATTTTGATTTTGATTGCATATCATATTCTTTAAGATCAAGTTTTGAAGAACAAAATCATGGATTAGTAATGGGGACACTCAGTATTTAGCAAAAAATGAGAAGTTATAATATTTATTACCTAGGAACATAATAATATCAAGCAGGCTGAATTGTTTTTGATATCTACTTGTCATGGCTATGTGCATTACTGAACTTCTGATGTGTTGGGGTGATTTTTACGTGCCATAGTTTGTGTTTGACTAATTTACAGCTTTTTATGGAGGATTTTTTTTTTTTTTTTTTTNTAGTTTAAAACAAAAGATGACACGTTTCATGTAATCGTCCTGATGTAGGCTTGTGTTTATGTGTTAGGTTGATATAATCGATTCACTTCCTGAAGTTTACCCGGAAGTGGAGGCCTGGGTGGAGAATGTGATTATGGAGGAAGGAAACGCAACAATCCTGACGCTGTTTGTTTGTCTCCTTACGGTTCTTTACTTGCGCGAGCGTCAAAGGAGACATGCTGCTGCTGCTGCTGACGGAGGAGTTCCCCCTGTCGAGCAGGCTGCTGTACCTCTTGGTTAAATATGAATATTCTGCTGGTAGATGTATAGGTGTTTTGATTTTCTAATGTTATCCCTTTTGCATGTTGTGCAATCGAGGACAGTCACGGCTTCCAGTTTTAGAACTGACAGAAGACAAAGGATTACAGAATCACAGGTTGAAAAAGGTCTTGTTGCATAATTTTTGTTGATGAAAATGTAGTTATGACCTCATTTTTGTATTGCTTCTAGCTCTGCTGAATGGGAAGGATTAGATTTGTGGTGGGAATACTTTATACTTCTGCTTTTGGTAAAAAGTAATTTTTGAGAAAAGAGTGGAGTCTCATTTTACTCAAATTGTGTTCACCAACTATGATGGGAAGCGTTAGAATCACTTTGCTCAAATTGTGTTCACCACTACTCACTCAGTGAGACTCATTTAGTCATTTGAAGAGATGCCGAATGTAATTCTGTCTTTTTGTTTGAAGTGATAAATATTATACAAGTAAATAAAGCTAGTACATAGTTTAGTCATACATCCCTTAACATTACACAATCTAACAATAAGTGAGAAACAGAGGGGCTATTTCGAGCCATTTTCAGATTTTTAAACCTTCTCATCCCCAGCTCAGCATTCAGCAATCTAGTAAAAACCTCATACAACAACAACATACCCAGTACATTCCCAACAGGTTGGGGTCTGGGGGTCAGTTGTACGCAGACTTTACCCTTGTAACTATACAAGGAGGTTGTTTCCGTAGCGACCCAAGGTGCATTGCGCCGTTTGATATATTTTTTTTTTCTAGAAACTTCACTAATAGAAGAAGCACTAGAATTTAATTTAGCCATTTTGATCTAGTCCATATTAGCACTATGCCAGGAGAATTGTCAACAATGACTCTTCCAGCTCCATTGGCAATGGACAAAAGTAAGAACCTCATAAATGAGCATAAAATAGATAAGGGGACAGAGGATTCCCTTGTCTAATTTCCCTGGAGGCAGAAATAAAGCCAGTCACTTTGGTCCTTTGTGAGGCTACTAATAATCATGCTCATATCCTGTTGAATATCCTTGATAAGTATCGTTAGAGGTTCATTGGTCAAAGGGCCAACCAGGAAAAATCTTCAAGTTTTTTTTAGTAGAAACCTCCCTAATTCTGGTAGGTCTATTATTTGCAATGTTTTAGGGGTATTCAAGAACATAAGTCTACTAGATACTTGGAGTTGCCTCTAGGCATTAGGAGATCTAAAAAAGAGTCATTTGAGTTTGTGGTGAGGGCTGTGAGGTCAAAGTTAGTTAGCTGGAAAAACAATATGTTGAATGGTGCTGGTAAAGAGGTCCTAATCAAAGCTGTGATAGGGGCTCTTCATGTGTTTTCTATGTCCTGCTTTTGTTTTCCTCAAACCATTTGCAGGGACATTGCTAGTTTGACAGCTAAGTTCTGGTGGAGCAAGGGGGAGCAGCTAAATGGAATGCATTAGAAAAGATGGAGCTTCATGACATCACCCAAATCTGTGGGGGGACTGGGATTCAAAGATATCAACCTCTTTAATGAAGCTCTTATTCTGAAGCAATTGTGGAAGATAGTCTCTCAACCGAACTTGCTGGTATCAAAAGTTCTAAAAGGAAGGTATTATCATAAAAGCTCTCTTACAGCTTTTGGCTTTGGAGTAATTGGTTGCAGGTGAGGGACAAGTTCAAACAATATTTTAAGGTGGAGGTCAGAAATGGAAGGTCTTCAAACATTTGGAACGATCCATGGAGTCCTAAGGTGGATCTGCAGCACATGGAAGGAGGTGGGAGTGTTACAAGAGGAGTGCAATGGGTTGAAGAGCTATTGGAAGACGGGGGAAGAAGATGGAACATGAGGTTGGTGGAAGAGCTGTTTTCTAGTCCTGTACAAGAGGCTATTCTTAAAATCAAGACACTTGATCCTCTTTTAGCTGACAGATGGATCTGGACTTTGGATGACAAAGGTAAATTCTCTGTGGCTTGTTCATATCACTATCTGTTGGAACATAAGATTAGATTAATGGACATTGCTGAGGGTAGTTACTCAAATGTGAAAGATAGAAAGGTATGGATGAAAAGTTCGGGTCTGAAGATAAAGAACAAGCTTAAACACTTTATCTGTGTTATACAAATGTTCTGCCAGTGAGCTTTAATCTGAGAAGAAGAGAAATGACTATTGATTAAATATGACCTTGTTGTGGTAAGATGTGGAGACTATAGAACATTTATTTTTTAGTTGCAGCAGAGCACAGAAAGTATGGAGTTTGGCACCTATGAGCTGGGAAGAATTGCCTTCTGATTCTAGAACTTTTAAGTTTTTAGGGGAGCTAAATGTTGTTCCTCTTTGATCTCATGAGAAAGGACTTGTTTGTTCAGGAGGTTATTTGTAACCCGTTGGTTATGCGGTTGTACATTTGCGATTTATATATCATATTTGATGTGTGGCTGAAAAAAAAAAAAGGATTATAAATTTGAATGAATTGAGTTCAGTAGTGTCAAATTTTTCTTCTTTTCGTGTAACAATTTTCACCTTTTAATATATATGTTGCAAGTGAGGTGCAAATGGTGTTCATATTTGAGTGGCAGGATATGTTCAAATGATTAGTTGATGCTGAATCAAACCCAATAAATACAATTGGGGTGAACCTTCACATTCCATTGTCAAGATCCAGAGATGCTAGCTACCGACCTTCGGCCTCAGGTCTGATGAAAGCATGAATTATTGTTATCAATTTCAACTTTGTCTACCGTAATGTTTTACCATTATAATACATCCAACTATTCATGTTGATGTATTTTTGTGTTAATTGCATGAGTACATTTGAAAGGGAAAAAAAAAAAGAACAATTTTGTTCACTGAACTCATTTGACCTCAAGTGGTAAGATATTAGTTAAGTCTGCCAGAATGTCCATTCTTCATAACTACACCGAATTCGGCTTTCAATATTATGCCAAAATATGAGTCTAGCAAACAAGTGCTACTACCACTACCACATCATGCTTCAACAGCCAAACTTCAATCCTTTGTTTCTCTATTGATTCCATTGAGTGGGAGAAAATAAAGTTTAAAAGTAAAAAACACATTTAACACATATTATACTGCTTCTCGACACAAAAAGACTCAGATGCGATTGCATAATGTACTTGTAACTCTCCTTTACAGAGTAGCATGTAGGTTCCTTGATGTTCCAATCACTCACTAAAGTTGAATAGTTTTACTTCCATGAATTTTAGATGTTTACACCACCATAACTTAATATGTGAAATGTAGATCTACACTTCAGGCAAGAGGTTCGGAGCACTTCAGATCATCTTCCTTGTTTCGACCATCTTCTTTCACGACGTCCTAAAATACCATCAACACCAGAAAGCTATTAAAAATGACAAATCAGGGTTTTGATGCACAAAATCGTTATTTGTAAGCATTAATTGTGACGCAACTATGAAATGACCAATCACATCCACTTTACAACATTTGGTAAAGATTTATTCTCCTACCAACCATGTTGGGAAAAAGAACACCATCTTAGTAGTTATCGGACCCTTATTGTTGGAGTAGTGCATCTTTGCAATTACATTTATTCTGTTACTGCTTAGCCATTTGTCTCTCTTTTTCTCATGTTTGGTTTTTGGTCATTCCTGTAATGAATACAATACCTAATTACTGCAGACTATTATCATTCATAATCTTCACGTCTCTCGAATGTTTTTTCACCATAAAACTAATGCAATATAGAAATTAATGGAAAGCCACCCACACGCATAAAATGGTATAGCCGTTCTACACATGTGATGAAAATTCATGTATGTAACACCGAAAGATGTGTATCATCTCTAGAACCATGAGAATTCTCAGATGCAAACTCATTGGAACTAAGTTCCAGCTCAAGTGGTACATATACCTACCTAAGTGTCCTTCCAGGCCAATTTAAAAAAAGTCCCATCAACATAAAACCCAACCAGATTCTTATTTTTTCGCAAAGAAAAATGAAGAAATGAAACGTAAGCTACACAGTCCATCAACAATACTAGCTTAGGCGACGTTTGGCAAAGCTAGCTTATAGCTTATAGCTTTTAAGTGAATTTCAATCTTATAGCTTATAGCTTATGACTTATGGCTGAAAAGCGATTAAAGTGTGATAAAATTAGCTAGTTGAAATAATAATTTCAACATGCTTATTTGAAAAGCTACCCAAAGGAAGCTTATAGGATAAGCTCGAGCTCTTTAAAAAAGTTTGTCCCACCAAACCAAGCTTATTTAAATACATGAAGCTTATAAGCTAACCAAATAAGCTATAAGCTAGCTTATGATTCTTACCAAACAAGTTCTTAATGCTTGTTCTATTAAGTGATCCATCAATCACAACTCAAATAGAAAACTGGTGGATGCATTACTGCATGGTTAAATCAAGGTTATATTAAGACAAATCAGGAGATCTCAATAATTTTGGTCACACATGGAAAAATGGTGATTGTCTCTATTTGCAATTCATGATCCAAAACATCTCATTGTTTGACCTCAACAAAACATAAGTTGAAACACGGCCAGCTAACATAGTTAAAGCAAACAATAACATGAAACTCAAGCAAGTTAAAATTATGCTTTTAGCCCATATTAAAATTTAATTTCTTCTCGCGGTTCCTTTTCCTTTCTTTTCCCTAAAGGATAACGGAAAACATGAACCCAATAGGATATAAGTTGGTTGTGAAAGGGGAGTTGAGGTTAAGATTGGAAATGTTTGACATGCTAAGATGAAATCATATCCGTGGAATTTGGAAATCCAACATTTTTCCAACAAAGAAAATGGATAGAAAAAAAGGGCTGATAATATTACCATGTCTTTTGTTTCAGGCTCCAGAAATTCACTCTTCACTCTTCCAGGTATAGGCTTGCTGGATGTGCATAACACAATTTAGATTCCTATAGACAATAGAATAACAGTGACAAAAAAGAGCATATAAAAGGAAGTGTACCGATCATCATCAACATCCATGTCAGAGTTGGGATCATTTCTTTCATCCTCGCCATCCTGATCTTCCACCTGCATGCCAAACATATTTGAATTGGTAAAATAAGGTTTGAAATATTAGACTCTGAATTTTGAATGCTGAGACAATAAAGGTAGGAAATCTTTACACAATAAGAATAGTTGCATTGAAATATTGAATGCATGTTAAAATTGTGTGTTGCATATGGGGATTTGTTGTTAACTAATAAAAGCATGTTGAGGCTATAAGGGAAACGGAATCACATGTTGTTGTAGGTTGTTTAGTAGAATGCTTCCTCTATTCTTAGGTTGTTTAGTAGAATGCTTCCTCTATTCTTCTTCTTTTATTCTCTTTCTTCTTTTTTTTTTTTTATCACGCAACTTGGCTAATAAATGAGCATGCTTGCTGCATGCAAACGCAATTCTCTTATATGTGATTGAACTCTGCGCGAAGGTCTCTCATAATAATATTCCGGCATATATGTGATTGGTGAGTATAGATCTAGCATTTTATATTCCCTTCAATTATTTCTGAACAATTTCTATACAATTATTTTTGAACAATTTCTATCATGCATCATGAAGTGCTGATGGACACCAAGAGAGCATATCTTTCCTTATAAACTTAGTGGAGAACAATTCCACGAGAGCAAACCAAAGCCACTAAATGAGATCTATAATCGACCACACCCTAAAAGGAAGTAAAGAAAATAGTACTAGAAAAACCTCTCTAGTCAGTTTATCATTAGAAAAACTTAATTCTTATCTTTTTCACTGGCCGAGTTCCTCCCAGGCTTGAAATATCTTTATAATTTTTATAAGTGAATAAGTAATGTTAAATAAATATCAGACTTCCTCATGAAACGAATCATATATGAGAGAAAGGAAAATGGAATATATGGCAGGCCCGCGAAGCCCGGGTCATTTATAAGATAAATGCAACGATTTCCATATTATTAGAGTCCGGTCAACACATTAATGTAAAACCCAAATGTTAAACAAACCTCTGGGAGTTCAGCATCTGGTGGTCGCTCCTGGAACTGGACACTTGGGGCATGTTGAAGCTTTGCAAGATTATCAAGAAGCTTTGATCTGATCTCTTCCAATAAATGACGAGAATTCTTATTTTCCATGTTACTTGGAGCGACGTGCAGATTATAATCTGGGCCAAAGTACTCATAATATTCATGTTGAGGCATCTTGTCTTCAAGTTCAATCCCAAGTGCTACACCTGTCTGTTAACCCAGATTCAAAGTCAAATCACACTATTAAGAAGCTAACCACAACTAATTTTTTTGTGGGGGGCTGGAGGACGGGTTTGGTGGCGGAGGGGGGAGGTTCATTATGCAAACTGTTACCAATAATAGTCGATTCATGTGTCACAATTGCAAGCCAAAAGTGTCAATCAGTCCACAACTGTTTGAGATGACAAAGTCCAAAACCTTAAGGGTAGTAGTACTATGTCACTCATCACGGGAAAAGAGTAGCATTCAGAAGTCGCTATAAAAAGAAAAGAAAACAGGACTTGCCCTGACTTGGGAAATTAAAGATGCCAGAAGTTTTCATGGATGAGAAAAAAATATTCATACTGGCTCTTCTGAATAAATAAAGGATGATGTTTCAAGGTCACTGATTGTCTAGAGGCAATGTAAACTATGTGGGAACCAGACCTTAAGGAGCCTTAGTTCAGGTTTGACTATTTTAATGAGGAATTTTCAGCAAATGTAGACCTTGACAACATTTCTATTCAATACTCTTCGAATTAATCAAACAATTAAAATCATCCAGCAGATTGTTAAATATATTATTCAAATTGCTTGAAACTTAGTAGCCCTTCTCATTAGACAGGTCCAACACACTGTCCCCAACCCTAGAGGCAAGAGTGATTCCAAGATTTACTTAAACCAAATGTTAAAGATACCTTTACATGCAACAATCTATAAAAGAGCAAACCAGCCAGTCGAGGATGAAGCCAAGATGTCTAGCTTTAGAAATAGTACAAGACACTAGTTGATAATGTCATAGTTAAACAGCATATAATCCTTACTATGATCCAGGTACTTTTTTCTTTAGCACTAGAGGAAGACAGCAGTTGATACTACCATATTTAAACAGCATGGAATCCATACTATAAGCAAAGTATTTTTTTCCCAAGTTAAAGACTAACAACAATCCAATCCACAACTCCAAATCATTAGAAGGAACAAATAAGCAGCATCTATGAGTACAAGCTCATCTCACTTATCAAGAAGAAAGTTTACATGGCAGTGATATCTGTATTTAATTTAGAAACACGGGCATGTTGCTGCTTAAGTTAGAGTCCAGTAAGAAACATGAGGTTCTGATTATTTGGCATGTCATATGTGCCCCCATATATAAAGTAACTTTCAGTCCAATCAGAGGATTAAGATTTTATATTTTACCATTCATATAGTTTGATGCACTATACAATAGTTTTTGACAACTTCTGGCATCCCACTAATCACATTGCCTGCTCTAGAATTATGTCCAAGTACATTGTGTCATGTACAAGTTCTGTCCAATTAATGTCAACGTTTGCATGTTGCATTCTTGTCCATTGCAAATGGAGCTGGAAGAATCATTGTTGACAATTCTCCTGGCATAGTGCTAATAATGGACTAGATCAAAATGGCTCAATTAAATTCTAGTGCTTCTTCTATTAGTGAAGTTTCTAGAAAAAAAAATATATCAAACGGAGCAATGCACCTTGGATCGCTACGGAAACAGCCTCGTTGTATAATTACAAGGGTAAGGTCTGCGTACAACTGACCCCCCAGACCCCAACCTGTTGGGAATATACTGGGTATGTTGTTGTTATTGTTGTTGTTGTTGTTGTTTGCATGTTGCATTCAAAATTGGCACATAAAATGTTTCAAAAAAATCAGATGATAATGAAACTCATTGAGACTAACTTGATATGTGATTATTTAACTGGTTTACCTCATAACACCAACAACGAGCAACATTACGTATAGTATAACCACCTCCACCCAACAAAAGTAGTGGCACATTAAAAGATCTCATGAACTTGACGCACTCTGCATGACCTTTAATTGAGAGATTAAAGCAACCTAATCGATCCCCAGACAAAGAATCTGCACCACATTGTAATACAACAGCACCAGGACGAAAAACTTCCATCACCTTGCCCATTATTGGCTTAAACAGGGACTGATAGCTTTCATCATCAATTCCATCATCCAAGGGAACATTAAGAGAGTAATATTTCCCTTTCCCATATCCAATATCACGTACATCACCCGTACCAGGAAAATAATCTCCAAATTTATGGAAAGAAACAGTCATGACTCTGTCTGTAGTATAGAATGCTTCTTCAACACCATCACCATGATGAATGTCAATGTCTACATACAGAACACGCTGCAAGAAGACAATAAAAGATAAAAACTCAACACAAAGAAAAAGGAAAGAAGATGAAAATCAGTATAGACACTACAGCAGTAATCACTTGCTCTGATTCAACATGCTACAAAACAGCAAGCAGTAAATAAAAATATCCCGCATTTGATAAGCATCCGTATTTCCACCTAAAACTACCAATTGGAATACTTGATACATTCGAAGAGAAAATATTCCTGTCACATGCATTAGTCACTCAAAGGACGATGGTCATTAAAATCTAAGCACATCTATATTTGAAGTCTTTTGCTCATTAAAAATATACCTAAAAGGATTCGAGTAAACAAGGATTCTACTCATAGAAATCCTGCAATTACATTGAGGAAGCCCCTTTCAAGGATAAATTTCAAAATTACTAATAAAGGCAGGAAATGGTAACAGCTTGCCAAGTACATAGCTAACCACAACGCAATCCAAATAAGCTGAATGGCGCTCCTTTACTTTTTCGTTTTCAGAAAAGCGAGGGGGATTGTGGAGTGTTAAGTGTAGAGGAAGAAGAACCAACCTCATGCACTTTGAGAAGTTCCAAGATAGCCAGCACTATATCATTGACATAGCAAAAACCAGAGGCCTCACACTTCTTTGCATGGTGTAATCCCCCAGCCCAATTGACAGCTATGTCACAATGTCCATGATTCAACTTGACAGCCCCACCAACAGAACCACCGGCGTAAGTTTGACAAAAGGAGTAGAGGCCGTCAAACACAGGGCAGTCTTCACCAACATTAAACCTCTTTAGCTGCCTGAGCTGCTCCTGTTGTGTTTCAGGGGTGATGCTCCTCAAGAAAGAGACATAATCATCAGCATGAAATCTGCACAGGTCTTTGTCCCGAGCAGGATTGGGTTTGAGAACATGCATATGCTGCAGCAGCCCGTAGTGTGCGAGAAGGGCGTGTGTCATGCGAATCCTGTGTGGCTTCATAGGGTGTCCTTGCCCGTAATAGTAATTCCCCACCTCAGGATCATAAAAATAACTAACTTTACGCTTCACTCCATCAGGACCCGAAGGTAAAGAGTTCCCTCCACTATCCATTGTTAGGTTTAGTCCTGAGTAGGTCAAATTACAGCAAAACAAAGAAAGCATAAGTTAGTGAAGGTTGCTACTTGCTAGGGAAATTAGCAAGTAGTTAATATAATTTAAGCACCACGGAAACATAGATCTAAACTTTAGCTTGTGAAATGGAAATGGGGTCTTCAAAATCGAAACCCTTTCGTACTGCTCTTGTCGTTTGCGAATATAAACAAACTGTCCACAGATTCGGAACAAAGAAGCTGTTCGTTCAACTCAAATGCATAGAATTGGTCTACATAAGTACTCGAAACAACATCGAAGACTAAACTTGATAGAGAAGGGGGAAGAGATAGAGAGAGATAGAGACAGTCAGTCACCTGAGAGATGGAAATGGTTGGAAGGTGTAACAGTAAGGAATACAACACTTCTCCAATCCAAGGGAACGAAAGGAGGCAATGTGGTGTATTGTATTTGTAAACGATGACGATAATATGATTCAGAGCAAAGGGGGCTTTGTCTTTGAACTTGAAACCCAAGGACTCGCTCTCAAATTTATGAATTTTCTTACCTCTTCTAGTAGTACCCATTTGCATTTTCTATCCCAATAAAATGTAGGTTTGGGTTGGGGCTTAATAATTAATTTTTATGGAAATGGAAATAGTTGGTGGTAATAAATAGGATCTTATGTTACGACCAACTTTATAAACATCATGAAATCGACTTTTAAAAGATTATTAATCTTTTTACGACCAACTTCCATATAACTAATTTAATGTCTTATCTTATTATAGAAAAATGCTAAAGTCTCGTAACAAATAAAACTCTAATAAAAAATTGTCATGTCAACATTTCTTGACCAAATCTAAAAAGTCCATATCAAATTAAAAGATCTAATAACTTATATTGGAATGATAGATTCATTCTCCACCGAACGGTAGTCAGCTCACTTATTGGTTGTATACGGAAGTAGTATGAGTATGTTTAACTATTAGACATTTATAAATATATATATATACATATATATATATAGGGAGCGGATCAAATGGGACCAGCTCTTAGTAACAACAGACAACTAACCTAGCAACTATAGAGAACTAACCTAGCAACTACAGAGAACTAACCTGGCAGCAAGAAAGAAATAACCTAGCAACAAAAGACAACTAACCTAACAGCATCAGACAACTAACCTAGCAGCAAAAAAGAAATAACCCCTAAACCCTAAACACCTCTCTAGAAAAATCCTCTCCCTTCTCTCTAGAAACCTTCACCCAGATTCTGACCTTTTTTCCTAAAATCACAACTTTCCTATCCAGTTTTCAGTTTTCTGGCAAGCCGGCGCCGGCGCCGGCCGGTGCCCGGTCACCCCCTAGAAACGCAAAGACCAAAAATACCAAAGAAATATTAAAACACATTTACAGTTTTCATCCTATTTGTTCAACTTTGATTTTATTTGGCTCAGTCCTCTAATCGGCGCCATGGTTCCCCCGGCCATCCCTCCGGTATCTGCTCCGGCAAACACCTCCATCCTAGCTTCAAATTTGGAGACCCTCTTGTCAAGATCGGATTTTCGAGAGGCTTTTTCAGCATTCCTCGGAAAAAACGAGCTCAAAAAAATGGGCAAAGAAGAAAACAAAATAAAAAAATTAGAAAAAGGAGAAATTGAAGAAGGTGAAATCCCAAATGATTTTGGTGATATTCCGAGCGGTTCCGCCGCCGGAACTTCTGAGGTAGTCTCTGGAACCTCACCGCTCAACCAAACCCCGGCCACTACTCCGTCAATCGGTCAAGTTCCACTGCTCACACAAAATTCAGAGTTGGATTTGTTCTTCTCTCATCCGAAATTCCGAGTGGCTTTCTCAGCCTTCCTCGCAAACATCAACAATAATCCGGGTGACATAGAAGGCAAAATCGGGGAAGAAGGAGAAAAAGACATGGAATCATTTGAAAAAATTACATCCCACCGCCTTCAGAAAAACGGAAAAGAAGAAATGGATTTAAAATCCACAAAACAAGCCGCGCTTGACAACAGCCACGGTGTAATCCCGGTCCCCGTGCGATTGACGTCGGGCAGTAAGGTCACGGAAGAAGGAACCAACGGCCAATCGGTCGGTTTTGGTTCATTGCCGTCGTCTCTCCCGGCAGGACCTTTACCTCCTCCAAACATGGCTGCCAAAGATTTAATTTGGCCTTATGGAAGCGAAGCAATGGCGAGAAAAAACCCTCAGCTCCCACTTCCGAGGCCCAAGTCAACTCCTTGCCTCTCAATTGGGCCACCTCAGGCCCAAAACATCCTTACTCTCTCAGTACACCACACCTCGCAGCCCAATTTCTCAAATCGGGCTGACCCACTTCCAGCACCCCATAACCAACGGTCCATCCCCCCTCTATTAGGACCTACCAACCAAACCAACCCCCAGCCCAATCATATTAATCCACCCAAAGCTGCCCAACAATCTAACGCCCAGCACACCCATGACCCATCCAAAATCGCCCAGCAACACTCACCTCACCAACATGCTGCAGCCGACAACCAACCGGCTTCCACTGTTCACGCCGGCACCGTCACCGGCGCCGGAGGTACCCCGACCACCGAAAAATCCCTTCCTGCCCCCATCGATGCCGGAAATGCACAGAAGTCGGACTTTGCGGCTGGCATACTCGGGCCTCGACCAAATTTACATTCTCCGGCCGGGGTCATCGCCGGAACCCCCACACTCGAGACACCGCCTACAGCCGACTACACAGTCAACCCTGCTGCACCCGAGCCTCAGCCGGGTACCTCCACTGGCCCGCTTTCCTTTCGCGAGGCCATTACGGGTAGAAGAGACGGCGGACCGAGCGACCCGAGGCCAACACCCAAGGAGTTCACCTTTGACGGGGACTACGAGCACGCTTGCGGGACCATTATCCGTTCGGAGGGGAACAAAGTGAAGGCCCGATACACCGAAGCCGAATCTGTTGCTCTTGCAGGTAAGCTAGCTAATACCCTGGTCTTTAAGTTTTCATATGCTATCCCTGCCCCTCGAGATATATCTGCTGGATTAGGCAAATTGGGTTTTAAGGGTAGAGTATCTTCTAAGTGGTACAATTTCAACCACCTTCTTGTGTCTTTCCACCTCCCCGAGGATTATAACGAGGTCTGGCTTAAGACCTCGATTCATTTGTGTGGATGCCCAGCTAGGGTGTTCAAATATTATGTCGGGTTTAACCCAAAGACGGAGGCGCCGGTCGTCCCCGTTTGGTGCCGCCTTCCCGGCCTCCCACCCCATCTTTACGACCGTACTGCCATCACTACACTAGCTAAGTGTATTGGGCAGCCGATCCGTATCGACGCCCCGACGGCCCTTCAGACGAGGGCTAACGTGGCGCGATTTTGCGTCGAGATAGATCTGAGAGCTGAGCTCGTCCATGAGATCGAGATTGAACAGGGCTCGGAGTCTTTTGTTCAGCGGGTGATCTATGAGAAGATCCCCGCGTTCTGCACCTCGTGCAGCCATGTGGGTCATGTTGCGGCCGATTGCTACATCAGTGGCAATAAGCCACGGCCCGCCCTCCCGCAGCGCCATCGTGCGACCCAGCAGGGAACCTCCACCAGCCGGAGGGACCCGAAGGGAAAGGGCAAAAGCCCTCTCCGCGAGCCCGAGACCCCGAAAGGGTCTAAGAACAAGGGCAAGGCTGTGATTGTCGATACTGCCCAAACTGGGAAGGATGCTCATCCTAACCAGCCAAAGCAGTTGGCCTTAGTGGGTCCCAAGCCCAAGTCCACGGGCTTTCTCCCTAGACAGACCTTACAGACGGCCTTCAAGGCCAACCACTCCTATTTTGCTATTCTCTCCCCTGAGGCAGAGAAGGAGTCTGTTCCTTCCTCCAGCAGGCCACCTAAGATTACCGATCTTACGCTTCTGGATGACGATGACCTCCTTGGAGACGACATGGACCAGCCGGACGCCACGCCCAGGAGAGAGTCCATCCACCTATCCGACGATAGTGCGCGCGATGCTGGTCCTTTGACCGTGAACGCATCTAGCCCGGTCCGATCTTCGGATTCGAGAGCTACTGCCGCCACCGCTCCCGCGAAAGGGGATGAGTCGGCCCACCCCACCCCTGCCGAGATTGGGGACTCGGTCGAGCTGATAGCCAGCTCCCAGCCTCCTCCTAGCGGCGAGCACCCGAGTGGTCCGTCTGCTGGACACCCTCTTTCACCCATCCCAGAGCAGATATGCGGACTTTACCGCACGCAGCATGACGTCTCGTGCGAGAGTTTCGCCTCTAGTGCTTTTCTCCACCTAGACAGACAAGAGACAACCCCGGAGATGGGGCAACCCGCTATTGCTGCTATAGGTCAGTCTGGCCAGCCAGACGACTCACAGGCCACGAGTACATACCGAGGCAGACAGACCTCGAGGACCAGAGCCATGCAGCACACGAGACGGCGGACGATCTCCCCTGCTATTGGACCCTTCCGCCGCACGACACGACGGACGACTTCCCATTCTTTAGGTGGCCCGAATCAGCCTCGCCATAGGCGGACTATGTCCGGTGGCTCTTGCGACCGTTGATATGTCCATCACAGCCATTACTTGGAATGGCCGTGGCCTGGCGAACAGGGCTACTCTTTCTCACCTTCACTCTCTTATTCGTGACCACAGAGTCGATTTTGTTGGCTTTATTGAGCCGATGATTCGCACTCCTTCTTTTGACTACTACTCGCGTCGGCTGGGCTTCCACTCGGGCGTGGGTAATATTTCGCACAAGATCTGGTTTTTCCACTTGCGTGACTACACTTGTCGGGTCCTCCGCGACACCGATCAGGTGCTTCACGTAGAGATTTCTGCTGACCACCTCCCGGAGCCCATCTTTCACACCTTGGTTTATGCCAAGTGTACTAGGGTCGGGCGATATGACCTTTGGGACACCCTGCGTGAGATTGCCGAGAGTATGGAGGGATTGCCATGGATGGTTAGTGGCGATTTCAACATCTTTCTGCACCCCGATGAGCGCGTGGGTGGCCGCACGGACAGATCCCGAGAGATGTGGGATTTTGCGCAGACTGTGGCGGACTGTGAGTTGCTTGATGCTGGATGCGAGGGTGAGCCCTTCACGTGGGTTAGGGACGGCCTCAAGGAGAGGCTCGACCGTGCTTTGATTTCTGAAGCGTGGTCGAAGGTGTTTGCGGTCACGACCGTCACGCACCTCACTCGATTTGGGTCTGACCATTCACCCCTCCTCATTAGATGTCGTTTTTCGAGCACTCCTCGCCGCGCTTCCTTTAGGTTCCAAAACATGTGGGTTCGCCACCACTCCTTCCACGACACTGTCAGGGATTCCTGGCTTCAGTCGACTGGGCTCTTCGGGATGCGCAATCTCGAGGCGAAGCTCGGCAGACTGCGGCGCCGGTTGAGACAGTGGAACTGGGATGTTTTTGGAAACCTTCATCACCGCCTTACTGCAGCTCAGAGTGCGCATGCGTCGGCTGAGCGGGCCTATGACCTGGACCCCACTCCAGAGAATAGGACCGCCATGCACCGCTGCCATGCCGAGTACCAGCTCCGACTCCTTATGGAGGAGGACTTCTGGAAGCAGAAGGCGGCCG